TCGATGCAGTTAAAGGTTATATTTAAGTTTTTATTGCAAGTGTCCCTGATGGCAGGATTAGAAAGGCCATATATAAGCTTGGGGGGAAAACCTCTTGAAGATCGGTGTGTGTTTTGGTATGCTCTTACGCAACTCTGAAAAATAATGATTCAAGACTTGTGTTTTGTTTCCTGTTATATAACTTAGCAATTTTGCACTATTAGTAGAAGGCCTATTTAAAGATCTCAAAGCATTTAAGTAATCCGGTAACACGGGCAGGAACTTCTAAGCAACAGCCTTGACTTCGTCCAGTATTACAAAAGTTCTCAATCCTATCCCGTTCTATTAATTCCACCTACTCGTTCAGATGCTGGGCTGATTTTTTTTTTTCCAAAACGATGCTAAATTCAGCCCCTTCGCAATTCCAGCTCAAGATTTCCTCTGCCACCCTATTTTAGTGCATTTTGCCTAGCATCAACGGAAGCCTTCGCTTACTATAGGCCTACAAGCAGATTTAAGAGGAAAAAAATAATACAAACGATGATTATCTGAAAAGATTAGGGGGGTTCCCCCCTCTCCCCCCAAATTTAAAACGGGAGGATACGCTTGGTTGCACTGAGAGCACGGTCGGTAAATTGGGTGTGTGTGTGTCATTTTAATCACTCTTTTAAGACGAGTCCCTGCCAAAATATCTTCCCATACACCCACCCAATGTTTAGGCAGTATGGCCTTTCACAAAATCTTCTACTTCTCTGGCAACCAATCGACGGTTTAAAAAATCTGGAAACTATGGCACCCACTGACTTACATCCTCTTGTGCCAAAAAATTAAGAGTTCGGTCGCACTTTTTCCAACTAACCGTTTTTCTTAAAAGCGATCAGCTGTGATAAGCTGCAGCTCCCTTCATCAGATGCCTGGAGTGGCTAGACAGATGTAGGATTTAAATTGGGGTGAGATGGAGGGAAAAGGGAGGGGAAGATGGGTTGGTTATGCAGAGGTAGATAACCTTTAGTAAAACTTCTTAGACAGGCAACGCGCTACCAGACTCCTGATTTTCGGCAACTGCACTGCTAACATCGCTCTCTTCTTACAAATTCCTCCTGGGCTAGATCACCAGGGAAGGACAAGTGAAGGAAAGTGCAAGTGACTCTGATAAAGTTGCTGCTATCGGTAGCCACCTGGAGGATCATCAATGCTGATCTAGTTCTGGCACCCTGGATCTATTTCTTCAGCTGTCAAGAATACTTTCAGTGGCCCTAAAGGCGAAGGATGTAGACCCACTTCTTGAAGAAATGAAACCGATCGTATTTGCTCTGACCTGTTCCTTCCTCAACTTTTCAGAAGGAGGTGGCTAATAAGAGAACACAGTTCATGCTTCTCTAGGAGAAGCAATAGCCGCATCGTGCTCAAGAAACATCCGTGTTCCAAAAACGATCATCCTAGATAATGTCTCGTCCATTTCCAATATTGCATTCTTGGGCCAAGCCCGTAAGCGGGCAATGACGTTCCATTTCTAGGTCTGTATTAATCCATATTTTTCACATTGCTGAGGTCCATTTTAATTCATTTTCAGAGCCAGTTATATCATGGAGATTCATGTGGACAAGCCTCTTCCAGAGACAAGACAGGATGAGTCCCTGTTGATACTGTTGGGGCTCAGCAACTTGGAATACCACTGACGATAATATCCATCTGGACCAGTGGCTGGCTGGGGAATTCTGGGAGTTGAAGTCCACCCATCTTAAAGTTGCCAAGGTTGAGAAACACTGATCTGAACCATCTGGATGGGATGAGGCTGTTTGCAATCCTTCAAAAGGCAGTTCTGAAGACCCCTCATCCTATAAACTTCAGATGTTCCCCAAGATTATATTTTGCACCTTGGTACATAAACCTCTTTGGAAAACTCAAGGACATTTTGTGACTTACTAGCCATAGTATATCTTGCTAACCAATATATTCTACTGCAACGCACTGGGACTCGGTTCACACATGACATAATGTGGTGTGCCTGATTTTGGCTTAGCGTAATCGGTGCCCTCCGCTTTGCTCAACATATCATGGAGACAGGGCGATGAGTCCCATCTATACGGAGTTAGAATCAAAAAGTTTATAAACTCCATATAGAATGTCACCGGCGGGACACTGGCCTAGTTATAACAAATACGTGACTTACCAAAGTTTGGGATTTTCCTAAAATAAAGGAAAAAGAAAGTTGTGCCTTCCAATTGTTCTTGACTCCTGGCAACTGCCTGAACAAGTCCCTGCAGTTTTCTTGGCAAGGTTTTTCAGAAGTGGTTTACCCTGGGCTCCTTCCTAGGGCTGAGAGAAAGGGACTGGTTCAAAGTCACCCAGCTGGCTTTGTGCCTAAGGCAGGATTAGAACTCCCAACCTCCTGGCTTCTAACCCAGCACTTATAATAATCAACCTTTCTCTCCTAAATCTGCCAAATATTCCAGAGAAGGAAGAAATTATTGCAATTTTTAAAATCTTAGTCCATAACATACAATTTGAGCCACACTAGTTATTTTTAATTGCTACATACTAAACCGATGTTAATACTGACAAGCCTCCAAATGGATAGAAGACATTTAAATATGCAGATTTACCTCTTGGTTATTTTGAAAAGTTGTAGCTAATGTTACGATGCTTGCAAAACTCCTTTTTATCTTTCGCTTTTTTCTTCCTCCCCTTTTCCTTTGACTGTACTTGCAAAGTTAATTAATAGTAATGATAAAGAAAACTGTCTTTGAATAGATACCTTATAATTAAATCGGTATGATGCAATGGAAGAAAGGAAAATTCCTCCTTCCAGAAGCGTTTATACTCCAGATTTGAGAAGCAAGCGTGCTGCGTAGATTGATTTTAATTTAAGTGGATTTGCTTTCAACTCACGGCACCATGATTCCCAGCCTCTAGCCTAAAGTTAATCTCTAGTTCAAGGTGGATTCCCACCGCTCTAGGAGAGCGGATGGCGCCAGAGAGTACCGCGTCCCTTATCTCCAGCTCTCAAGACCGATGCTGGCTAACTCCCTCTTTGCTCCCCTATCACAGGACAGTCCTTCAACTACTCCCTAATCTCTTTCTCTGCACACACTGTATCTTTGCTCCGACTCTGCTCTCGTGGTCACCAAAGTTCATTATCTCAGGAGCGGATTGCATTTTTATTTTATTTTTTGGCTTCAGGTGATTCTTCATAGAATGGAGGATGGACGCAAATGCAAGCGGATGCACAAGACCTCGAACTCCAGCTATTCACGTGCAATCTTTGCATCTTAGTCTCCTTACCAAAAGGGGGGGGGAGAGGGGGGCATCACAGGAAAGCTTAAAATCTGGCTCTCGTTCCCCATTTTCTCTTCGAACCTTTTCCTGTTTTTTCTCAAAACAGCCTCCTTCCTGCTTCTCCTTGCATCCAACAACTCTCTCCTTCCCATTCTCATCCCAGAGACCCCTCTAGCGCCCCAGGCCAGCCTTCCCCAACTAGGTGCCCCCCAGCTGCATGGGGGCCACCACACCCCGAAATCCCAGCCACAGCCAGACCGGCTGGGAGTTGTCATCTCAGAAGACTTGGAGGGTGAGGCAGGCTGCTGCAAAGTTGCCTTCCCCAGGCCCCCCTTCTCTGCCCCACAAAATACTCCCCCCTACAGCCCCCCAGCACCCTCTCCCAGCATTTCAGTGGTTAAGGTCTGCCAGTCTCTGCGCTGTTTTCCCTAATGCTGCCCCCACCCCAGCCATCAACTCCATCTCCATCTCCTCCATCACCCCCTTCCAAACCATGGAAGCTCTCTTCACATCCGGTTCCTTCTTTCCCCCACCTCAATATAGCCCCCCCACCCTTCAACCTCTCACCCTCCCCAGACCTCCCGGGGGGGGCAGATCTCCCCTCTCCCCCCCAAGCTGCCCCCTCCCCCCCCAGAGGTCTTTAAACAGCCAGACCTGGTCTACAGAGCCCACCCCTAAGCAGAGAGACAGACTAG